AGGAATTGCCTCCCTGGTCACCCACGGGGAAGGTGAGGCACGGTTTGCTCTTGAGAAGTGGGAAGAGGCCCCCAGGGTGGGGTGTGGAGGCCCCGGGGGCTCCAGTCAGGAAGAGGCCAGCCGTTCTGTGTGGCAGGGCATGGGGAGGGCTGTGCACAGGAGCCTCCGACTCATCGGGGGAGGGCGGGGTGGCTCCTGCATGGGCAGCCACCACCGGGCCCACCGACCCCGAACTGCCCTCCCCTCCCCTGCAGAGGGCTGCCAGAGCTGCCCGCCCACTTCCTGTGGGCGAAGGATAAAGGGGCTCTGGAGGCCCCCAGAGCAGAGCACGGGAGTCCTGGCACGGTAAGGCCCTGCCCCTCCCGGGCCTGCGGGCAGCCTGGCCTCTCCAGCCCTGGGCCCAGGGCCTGAGCCCCAGCACCCCTTCCCCCCACAGATGCTGAAGCTGCCATTCCTGACCCTCTTTTTGCTGGGGGATGCCGTTGCTGGGACCCCAGGTGAGTTCTGACTCCAGGCCAGCCCTCCCTTCCCTGGGGGGCCTCGTGACTGTCCACCTGTCCTGGGCCAGCTCCTTCTGCCCGGAGGAGGCCTGAGTGCGGGCAGCAGGGCTGAGCTCCAGGGGCCGGGGCCCGGTCTGCCTGAGCCCCCACCTTGCTTGCCCAGCACCCCTCCCAGAGAATGAGCTGGTGGGCATCGTGGGCGGCGACAACGCCCCCCAGGGGAAGTGGCCGTGGCAGGTCAGCCTGAGGCAATACAACTATCGCTGGGCCTCGTGGACGCACATCTGTGGGGGCTCCCTCATCCACCCGCAGTGGGTGCTGACTGCCGCCCACTGCATCTTCCGGTGAGTCCTGGCTGCCGCCGGGCTTGGGGCAAAGCATGAGGATGAAGCAGAAGGCGTGGGGGCCTGGGCTCAGGGTGGGATTCTGCCCCAAATACCAAGCCCCTCCCCACATGTCTGGGGGTGCTGCCCTCAAGGATGAAGCCCTGCAGCTTCTTTCCGGCCCCAGGAAGGACGCTGACCCGTCGACCTACCGGGTCCACGCGGGGGACGTGTACCTCTACGGGGACCAGGTGCTGTTGAACGTGAGCCTCATCATCGTCCACCCTGACTATGTGCACCCTGAACTGGGTGCGGACGTGGCCCTGTTCCAGCTGGCAGAGTCGGTGGACAGAACCGCGAACATGAAGCCCATCAGGCTGTCGTCAGCTTCTCCTGAGGTCACCGAGGGCCAGTGCTGGGTGACAGGCTGGGGCAGCGTCAGTATGCACGGTATGCTGGGCCGGCGGGGGGACTCAGGGTGGGGAGGCCTGTGGGTGGGCAGCCTTGGGGCCCAGGGAGGAGGAGAAAGGGCTGGGTGGCACAGGGGGCGCCTCTGGTTTGCCCCTCCAGCGGCCCGGGTGCTCCCCTTGGGAGATTCGGCCACAAGGTGGGGTGGCTCCGTGACCTGCTGATGCAGGACCAGGCTCAGAGCTCGGTCCTCCCAGGAAATGGTCCCGCTTATTTTTCCCAGCTTAGAAGACACTTTGCTGGAAGACAGACTCAGGGCCTCCTTCTCTCTCTGGTCCTTCCCACAAAACGCAGGATCAGTCGCAGAGACTCAGGAATGGAGGGGCGGCTGGGACCCCCTGCACCCTGGGGCCCTGTGGCCTTGCTGCCGATGGGCATGGGGGAGGCCACCCTCGGTCGCGGTGCCCAGGGCCTGGCCTGTGGGCCAAGACGGTGGGGTTTGCAGGCTGCCAGAGCCCGTCTCTTCCCTGCAGAGTCTCTGCCCCCGCCGTACCGCCTGCAGCAGGTGAGCGTGCAGCTGGTGGACAATGCCCTCTGCGACCAGCTGTACTCCAACTCCCTGTGGCACCTCTATGACAGGAAGATCATTCAGGATGACATGCTGTGCGCGGGCAGCGAGGGCCGGGACTCCTGCTATGTGAGTGCCCCCCGCCCCCCAAGCCCCCGCCCCTGCTGGCCCCGCTGCTCATTCGCCCCTCCTTTCGCAGGGCGACTCCGGTGGCCCCCTGGTCTGCAGGGTGAAAGGGGCCTGGCAGTTGGTGGGAGTGGTGAGCTGGGGCAACAGCTGTGCCCAGTCTGGCTTCCCTGGGGTCTATGCCCGCGTCCCGACCTACGTACCCTGGATCAGGCGGCAAATCCAGACGGGTCTGTGACCCCCTGCGGGCTCAGGGGTCAGCCAGGAGCAGCCCTCCCCCTCCCCACACCTGCTGCCCCCAGCTGGAGCTTCACCTCCTCCTCTGGCCTGCACAGCCTGAACACCCCAGGCCCTGGGGGCCGAGGCAGGAAGATGCCGGGGAAGGGTGGGGGTGAGGGCCTGGGGCCCCGGGAGCACCTTGCTGGGCCGTGTCTGTCTGAGTAAAGAGCTTGTGTGCCATTAACAAGACTGGGGTGTGACTCTTTATGGGATGGGCGCTGAGGCTTTGCAGGGGCATGTGTCCCTATGCCCTGAAGTCAGAGGCCATTCTGGGCTCAGAAGGGGAGTGTGAGGGTCTCAGCATCAGCTCTGACGGGGGCCACGGCCTCTCACTCTGCCCCTGCACTGAAGTTCACCATATGATACTGGGGATGATTCCGAAGGGAATTCACCCGAGTCCCAGGATTAGATCCACCCACCCTTCCATCCCCCACCCATCCATCTGGGCCTCCAACCATTCATTTATCCATCCATCCACCCCTCTATCCATCTGGGTATGATGAAACGTGTCTGATCCTCTAGGGGGATGTCTGCTCACCTGGGTACCTTGCAGGCGAGAGCCTTTGCCGGCCCTCGCAGGGCACCTCCTCTGGTTGGTCACGAGTTCTAGATGCCTGGGCATCATTGAGGAAAAATGTCCCTCAGGCAGCTGGGTGTGGGGCCGGAGCTGGAGAGAGGAGACAGGGTGTTTCAATGGAAGTGATGCTCGGCCCTGGGGTGCATAGGGGTGAGGGTGGGAGGGGACTCCAGACGGGCAAGAAGAGGCTGCACGTGGGTGCGTTTTCCTGGGCTGCCCCTGAACAGTCACCACGGCTGCCCTGGATGAGCCCCCAGCACCAGCAGACGTGGTCCTCGCGGGGGCACAGGGGCGGGACGGGGCAGCCCTGGGGACAGATCACCCCCCGCAAAGCCTTGCCCACAGTCCAGAGTGACTACTGGCCTGAGCCCCGTGAGGCCTGCCGTTGTCCTGCGTGTCTGTGGTCTTCATGGGTCTAGGCATCAGGCAGAGCCGGGAAGGTTTTTTGCATGAATGGACCAATGAGTGTGTGCTGCACAGGTGAGAGCAGGCATGGCTGGATTTCTCCCTCGGTTGGCGAGCGGGCCGTGCAGACACCCTGTCTGAGACAAGACTAGAGGGTGGGCATGTGGACCCCAGGGGTGGCCTGCCTGGGGCCAGCTGCCTCTTACTGCCGCCAGGAGGTGAGAAGAGGTGTGCGCTGTGTCCACAGTGGGTGACACCTGACTGTGCCTGGCGGCTCCCCCAGGACAGGAACTTCCTAGAGGTTGACTGTGTTGATTTGCCAGGTTGGCCACAAATGTGCAAAGATGAAGGTGCAGGTATGCACTGGCACATCCTCAGTTATAGCAGAGGCCCTGGGGACGTGGCAGCTGGTACCCAGCTGCAGGGTGTGGTGGGGGTTCAGTCGGTCCCTTGTAACTTCCCAGATGTCTGCGCTTTTTAAGCCACATAAAATTGAGCTCTTTACACATCCCTACACGCTCACGTCCAAGTGCCTGTTCGTGGGCACGGGCTCCATTTCAGAGAACATGAACAAACTCTGGAGTGAGGTGGCCATGGAGGCCGCACGGCTTTGTGAATATGATGCGGAATTGTGTATTTCTGATGGTTACAACAGTAAATGCATGTGATGTGTATTTTACTACAATAAAACAGAGTCCCTGGCACACGTTTGCTGCACTGAAAGGGCAGCCCAGCAAGGCCCTGGCCAGATGGCCCAGCAAGGCCCAGCTCTGGGCACAGCCTGGGCCTGGCTCAGGGAGCCCTGCAGGAGCTGGTCTAAAGCGACACACTTCTCTTTGCCTGGGCACTGGGGGCTTTCTGCTCCTGCCCAGCACGGATCCCCCAGCCCCTGCTTTAAGCATGCACCGACCCCACAAGACCACACCTTCCACCAGTGGCAAGCTCTGCCAGGAACGTGGCATTTATGGGAAGCTGGCAGGCCACTGGGCTAAGGCGGGCAGGGGTGTGACTGGCAGAGGGGCCTGCAAGATAAGAGAGGTTCTGGTGTCTTGGGCCTTGCCAGAGTCAACAGGGACACTGCTTGGAGGGTTGGGGGCTCCCGGAACCACCCTGCTCCTTCTCCACACCTGCTCTTCCCTGGGAACTGGGCACATGCATGAGGGCAAGGCCTGGGGTTCTGGCCCCAATCCCCCCAAACAGTGTCCTGGGGTGAGGGCCCACAGCCGGTGTGGATTTTGCCTCCTCGGGCGGCTCTGTGCTGAGTGGGGTGCTGGCCTGGGAGGGATGGGGCCCTCTTCCCTGGGTGCGAAGGAGGAGGCGACAGTGGGCTGGGAGCCTCCTAAGGGAGCCCAAGCCTCAGGAATCTGGAACCCCCAGGGGGGCAGCGGGGGAGGGCTACCACCTGCCAGGGGATCCCAGACACTGACCAGATGCAGGAGTTTCCCAGCCCTGGGGGGGCCTGGGGTCACTCCCTGGCAGAGGGGGCAGGCTCGGGCCCAAGGGCGACCACAACTGGACCTACAGGAGAGCTGCCCCAGCAGGCTGAGCCCTGCAAGGTGGGGCCAGAGTGGGGAGGGTGCGTCCTGGGTGGGGAGGAGCCTAGCTGGGCCCTCGCTGGCCCGCAGCAGGTCCCCGTGGCAGGGGAGGGTCGGCTGCCAGCACCAGAGGGTGCAGGGCCCTCAGCCCAGTCCATCCCCTGCACCCAGCCCGGCACTACTGCCCTGCCAGGCCTCCTTGCAATCCTGGCACCAGAAGCCCGTGACTTCCTTCCCTGCCCCCTGTCCCTGACCTCTGGGGACAGGGAGGAGGGGAGGCCAGGGGGGAGGGGCCAGGGGAGCTCCAGTCCGGTGCCATCACGCCAGAGTCAGGTGGCACCAGGGCTCAAGGAGAACGCGGAGTCCCCACTGGCCCCCGGCAGATGCGTCTCCAGGTGAGAGTTTCTGCAGGCAGGCCTCCCCCATCCAACCCTGCCCCCGCCTTTGGGGTGGAGGGGGAAGCCTGGGCGAAGGTGCCTGGCAGCGGGTGGCACTCACCAGTCATGGCCGTGGCTGCGGGGAAACGCCAAGGGCCCTTCCTGCAGCCCTGGGTGCTGGGGCTCGAGCAACCTGCCCTTTTCCTGCCCACAGATGCAGCTCCTCCTGAGGGTCCTCCAGCTCCTGCTCCTGGGGGGAAGGGGTGAGTCCCCAGGCCAGGGTGTCAGCAGCCCTGGAAACTAGGCCTCTGACCCCCAGGGCAGCTGGGGTGCTCCCAGAGGGCGTGCGGGGGCTGAGCTGCATCCGACCCCTCGTCCCAAGCGCCCGTACCCCCAGGCTGCTCTGGCTCCTTTCTGCACAGCTCGGTCCCAGGAGGCAGGCCTGGGGGATCAGGGGTTAATGCAGGCCTTGGGGCTTGGCGACCGGTGCCCTGTGGCGCGTGTCACTCTCTCTCCCTCCTGTGACTTTCCAAGTCCTCCCGTGAGGTGGCTTATCCATGTGGGACTCAGGAGGAAGCCGAGCCCCAGAGGGAAGCTTGGCCAGTGCCCCCTCCAGCCGGAAACTCCTCGGGCGACTGTCGGGCATCCTTTCTCACTGAAACTTCAAAATAGGGGCTGAGAGGCTGGCCAGCTGGCAGGCATGTGGCCGTCTGCCACCTTCTCCAGCCCGGGAGCCACCAGCCACCTAGGGGCTGCTTATGTCTAAATCACTTAGAATTAAATAAGATTAGAGATCCGGCTCCTTGGTCCCATGAGCACGTTTTTGTGACCAGCGGGCATCTTGCTGGACAGCTGACAGTGAGCACCCCATCACCGTGGACTCCCTCTCGGGGACGCTGTGGGCAGGTTGGAAGAAGGTTGACCACAGGCAACAGAGGCCAGCGGGGCTGGGGGGCCTGTGTCTCCGGGCCCCAGGCCTGGGCCGTTTTCACAGCAGGGCTGCCTGAGGGCAGCTTGCTGGCTGGCACAGTGACCTCGGGCTGTGCCCACTGGTGTCTCCACAGTGAGCGGCCTTGTCCCAGAGCCCCGCATCGTGGGGGGCATGGCGGCGCCTCCCCGGCAGTGGCCCTGGCAGGTCAGCCTCAGAGAGCGGGGCCGCCACACCTGTGGAGGCAGCCTCATCAGCCACCAGTGGGTGCTGACCGCTGCCCACTGCGTCTCCGGGTGAGTCCTGCCTCCCACGTGTGGGGAGGCCCCGGAGCAGCGAGATGGGAAACCTGGGGCCCTGGAGGAGTGTCTGGCCCCCCAGGACCCACCGCCCTCGACTACCTACCGGGGCAGAGCCCCGCAGGCTGGGCCCAGCACCTGGCTCTCTCCTCCGGGGATTTGCTGCAGACATGGGCCATTTGCTTCCAAACAGGAGAGGAAACATTTTCATTCTGTGTCAACGCTTAGAAGTAGGAACTTTCTCCAGTGATTTTCTTTACTGTGGTTAAACACATATAAAATGTATCTCAATCAAGTCTATGTATCCCGTTTAGGGCATTGACCATATTCACATCCCCATCACCCCGCCCCCAAACGTTCTCATCTTCCCATGGACACTCCGTCCCCGGTGAACACACGCCCCCAGCCCCTCCCCAGCCCCTGACTCCTACCCTCCCACGTTCTGTCTCTGGATTCGACGACACGGATTTGCTCCTTAGTGCCTGGCTCAGCTGCCAGGGATGGTGCCCTCAAGGCCACACTGCAGGGGGCCGGGGCCGCCCTCCTTTCCGAGGCTAAACAACAGGCCCCGCTCCCCCCGTGGGCGCAGACCTCAGGCATGGCCATTTCTCTGCCTGTGCGCAGTTCCGCTGCGTCCATGTTTTTGCTGTTGTGAATTGTGAACCTGAGTGTATATGAAAGTAGAGAAATTTTAAGGAGCGAAATGCCCTTTGACAACACGTGAAAACTAAAAACCAAACCAGACCTTCAGGAAGCAATCCCAGGCCGACTTCTACAGGCAGATAATTTGCTATCAAGGATGGTAGCTCTCAAGGCTGAACCCTAACAGGTGCAATAATCAATATAAAATCAGCTGGCTCCGAGTGTGATTTTGAGGTACTTAAATCTTTCATGATTCTGTTGGTGTCGGGACCCTGTCTGGAATGTTCCTGGTACATTTAAGTCCTGGAAATAGTGGTCAACGGCTACTGGGGGCTCCCTGCGGACGTGCGTTGTTCCTAGCACACTGGGCAGACCGAGGCAAGTCCTACAACCCCCGCTCTCCATGAGGAAACTGAGGCAGAGAGAAGTGAATCATAAGCAACGGCAGATGCAGGATACCTGGAAAGGGCAGCGAGCCAGACCTCATGAGATGGAGTCATGGGGACCAGGGATGGTCCTGCCGGGACCATGGAAGAAGGGCACCCATGGGCAACAAGGGCAGCAGGCAGAGACTGCCTCCTGCAGGACTCAGAAACATCCGACTCCTCCACACACTTCCCGACGCACCCTTAGCTGTCCTCTGATGCCAACGGGGGGCATCCCGACATGCTCCACACATCCCAGAGCCCCCAGGCACTGCTCCATGCCCACGGGGCAGTCTCCCACCTGCCCCTCCACCCAGGCCCTGACCTGGGCCCCAGGCGCCCTGCCATCTAGGCACTGGCTCCCTGGCTCCCGTCTGGCTCAGGAAGAGCAGGGCCGTGGCCCGACTCACACACGGAGGGCTCACGACAGTCGAAGGATGACTCTCTCATCACACAGAGCTGGGGTCCCTCTTCCTGCCAGACTGGGTTTCTCGGGGATGCGACCCGGCTGGCATGTGTTCCCACACCTGGATCCAACTCTGGGGGCCAGGGTTGAGCAGAGGGTCCTGCAGGACTGAAGGAAGCTCCCGCAGGCACTGCCCTGTCCCCAGAGCTTGTCTGGGTGGGACCCTCACAGCCCACGGTGTCCCCCCACTTCCCGGCCAGATCTGTGAGGCTGCGAGACCTGCGCATCCAGCTGGGAGAGCCCACCCTGTACACCGATCCCCGGGGCTCAGTCTCCACAGGCGTGGCCAGCATCGTCCGGCACCCCTCCTTCAATGGGGATGCCCTCCAGGGCAGTGATGTGGCCCTGCTGAAGCTGGCACACCCCGTGCCCTTCTCTTCCACCATCAAACCCATCTCCCTGGCCTTGCCCGGCTCCCGCTTCCCTGCGGGCACCCTCTGCTGGGTGACTGGCTGGGGTGACATCAGGCAGAATGGTGAGTGAGGGGCAAAGAGTCGGGGGTTAGGGCTGGGAAGCCACTCTGAAGTGGAACGGGAGGCACTACAGGGGTCCCGTGAGTCGCCCCATCTCCCAGGGCCTGGCCCAGGCCTCACCCTGCACCCGAGTCCTGTCTGTCAGGCTCCGGCCCACCACCCATGTGATATGAATGCCTGCCCTCGGGAGGGGATCCGTCCAGCCGCGCTCCCAGCCGTTCCTGGAGGGCAAGCTGGGGGCCGGGCTGCACGTGCCACCTGGTGGTCCCCCTCCCGCCCACCGCCCCCTGCCTGGCAGTGGCCCTGCCCCAGCCCGGCAGGCTGCAACAGGTGGAGGTGCGCATCATCGACCTGCAGAACTGCCAGACGGCCTACCGCCCGGAGCCCATCGCCAAGGACATGCTGTGTGCTGGCCACTTCCAGGGCCAAAAGGGCTTCTGTGAGGTCAGTGCCCCAGCCAGCACCCTGTGCCAATCCACTGTGGGGCTTGGGAGAGTCACTGGACCCTCTGGGCCCCAGCTTACCCTGAAGTACAGTGGGGGCAGGGAAGCAGGGCCCCCGCTCACAGGGAATCTGGGAGAACCTTCCCCGTGCTGAGCAATAAGGCTCCCAGGTTTCCTCTTAACCCTCCGGGAGGCTGAGACACAGGCTGGGTCCTGGAGCTGGAGAGGGGCAGCCCCTTAGGGGGTAGTTCCGTGGGGCTGGGGCTGGGGCTCATGCCGGAGGCGGAACAGCGTCTGGCTCAGAGCCAGAGCTCTGTGAATATGTGTTGTAAGAATAAGTCCAGAGCATCCCGACGATAAGAAGCCAGAAAACAAGGCCCCGGCTGATAGCGCTGTGAGTGGTGCTGAAGGGCCCAGAGGGCCTGGGCCAGGCTGAAGGTGCCCCGTGACTCTGGGGTGGCAACGTGCCTTGCAGGAAGCCTGCAGGCCTGGGGTAACAATAATGGAAAAGTGCCCAAGCAAGCTGAGCTTTCACCAGCTGTGTGACCTTGGGCAAGTTGTTTGACCTCTGAGCCTGAGTCCTCAACTTCAGAAATGGGAGGTGGATGGAGTGGGTAGGCAGGGCTGCTGGGGGCCCAGATGCCCGTGGAGGCCCAGCCCATCCACCACCCTGCTACCTGGGCCCAGAGGGCTCGCCCTGTGCCTCCCCCCCAACTTCCTCCCCTGCAAGCTGATGCTGCAGGCAGCCTCTGCGAGTATGGGGGCTCCCCCTGTGGCATAGAACTGCCCCCTGACCCCGGCCTGTTTGTTTTCTTGTTTCTTCCAGGGCGACTCTGGGGGCCCCCTGGTCTGCCAGCTCCGGGACAGGCAGTGGGTGCAGGCAGCAGTGGTGAGCTTCAGCAGAGGCTGTGCCGAGCCCGGCCTCCCGGGGGTGTACACCAAGGTCTCTGCCTACCAGCCCTGGATCCGGCGCCACGTGCCTCTGCTGCGGTACTGCCAGAGGGGCTGACCCCCCCAGGCCGTCTGCGGGACCCTTCTCCCCTTTCTGCTGTCCCTGCTTCTCCCACTGCCCCTTGCCCCCACTCCTGAGTGGCCAGCAGACAGCTGGAGCCCACGTCCTGGCTTTGAGAAGGCTGGCAGTTTGCCTGGCACCTGTTTGAGGCAGAGAGCTGGGCTCAGGATGGAAGCACAAGCTGGGGGGGCCTGGGGGCTGCAAGCACCCACCTGCACAGAGTAAATGCTCAGTATCCTGCTCCTCTAGCCTCTTCATTCAAACCATCCAGGGGAGCGGCAGCACCCGGCGAGACCCTGAGGGGTGTTGGCAGAGGGGGTCCTGGTGGGCCAGCCCTCGAGGCCCAGGCCTGACGCTCCCACCAGATGGGGTGGCTGAATGATTTCCAAGGTCTCTTGTTTAAAAGACAGGAAGCAACTTGGCTCCATTCTTTTGGAGCCTCTCTCTCTTCAGGGACTTTTATTGGCTATTTAACGTCCTGGGGACACCAGTGGACTGAGTGCGGCCCCTCCACGCTGTCAGGCCAACCCACGGGAGAGGGTCGCAGCCGGGCAGGATGGGAGGCAAACCTCCTCACATCCACACCAACAAAACACGTGTCACTGTGCGCTTCAGAAGGTGACACAGAGCCTGGCCGGCCAGGCTGCACCCCCACGACCCCTGTGAGCCCCGCCCCAGGCCTGCCATTCCCCGTGTGCCCCCCACATGCTCCCCCACCCCCATGCCTGCCCCCTCCAGGCCTGCCATGCTCCAGGTCCCCATGTGTACCCCATGTGCTCAGCACGCCCTGCTGACCCCACAGGCCTGGCTGGAGGGGTTCCTGGTTGTGTGTGTCTTGGGGGTCAGAGGTCCAAGGGGACCTTCCTCAACCTGGAGTGGTCGGCAGGCAGGGCCCCCAGCTCCTGGACCCACATCCAAAGGCCTGAAGTGGGCCCTGCGGCCTCGGAGTGGCCTGTGGGAGTCACAGGGCTCCTCTGTCCGTAAGTCCTCTGCATCAGCCTCTGCTGGGAATATCCTCCCCTTGCTGGAAGATGCCAGGTCTTCAGTGGAGGCCCCCGAGGCCCCTGCCCCCAACCCCAAACTTAAAAGCTGTGGAGAGGCGGGGTGCCTGCTGTCTGACCCTAGTGCCCACAGAGGCTGATGTGACACTGGAAGCCTCTTTTAAGGGGTCCGGGTGAGGGGCTGTGTGGACCCACTCCTGCTGTGTGACTCCGGACGGTACCATCCCCCGCCTGGTCCCCAGTCTTCCCATTAATACAAGGTTATTGCAAGCTTGGTCCCTGTTAATACAAGCTCTCAGCTCCAGGGGGTACCTAACCTGCACCCCCAGCTCCTCCCCCTGGTTCTTGGTGTAAACTCAGTTCTGCAGCTCAACCACACCTGGTGGGGAGTGTGTGTGAGGGAGATGGAGAGACAGACAGAGACAGAGACAGAAGGGGGGCAGCACGTGTGCACATGTGCCCCCCAGATGCAGCCCTGACCTGGAGGCAGGCATCACCGTGGCCGACAGAGCCCAGTACGGGCCAGGGCTGGCACCAGACATTCCCCTTTGCCCAGGATTTGCCTGTGGTCATCACCTCTGGGACCTGGGCCACCCTCCCCAGTGCAGGGACCAGGCTCCCACTGCTGCTGGAGCTCAGGGGGCCTCTCCCAGTGAGGCTGTGGGCAGGGCATGTCCCCCTTGGGAGCAGATTGCCATCCGGAGCTGGGCGAGGGTGGTGAGCAGGTGGGACGAGACGGGCTGGTGGAGGTGAGCTGGGATGGCCCGGAGGAAGCAGGTTGAGGGGTACTCACCTGTGAGGGTTTCTCCTGGGTGGGGCTGCAGGCCCAGAGGCCAGCCTAGGAGTGAACTCCCAGGAGCAAGGGTGGAGGAAGGGGCACCCAGAGGCTTTCAGCCACCCACCACTCCAGACCTCTGCCCACAACTCGCCTCACCACCACCCTCCCCAGCAGCAGCCCCGTTCCCCACCAAGATCAGCCACGGCTCAGCAAGGTTTGCCGAATGGCCCGAGAGGACACAGCTAGAAAGTGCAGAACCCTGGGGCACAGGGGCCGCTCCGCGGCTGTTTGTTACCTGTGAGCTCCACGCTCAGCCACATTCAGTTACGTCCTTCTGGGAGAAAAATGGCGTGGTGCTCGGATAGCTCGAGGCAGGCACCTCTGGGAAGGATGACCATGCTTTAATGCTTAAAAATCAGCTTTTCTGTGGTATAATTTAAGTATGCCCATAATTAAAATTCACCAATTTTAAATCTACCATTCAGCATTGGACAGATGTACACAGTTACGGAGGTGCCGCCACAATCAAGTCATGCAGCACGCCCAGCTACCCCTTTGCCAGGTGCCCACCCCCCCACACCCGCAGCTGGGGAGGGGCAGGAAAGTTCTGGGAGGGGGCAAAGGTGGGGGAGGGGCAGCAGGCCAGGCTCCCCGGCAGGCCTGCCTGCTCAGCAGACCCCGAAGGGAGGGGTGTCATCCCACCTGTCCTGCTCAGAATGCAAATGGTCTGCTCAAGGGTGCACAGTCAGACCCCGGCAGGGCCAGGGTGGGCCCCAGGCATCCTGGCTGCAGTCTTTTCTCCTCCCCTGGGCTGGGTGGGGGGTCATTGCTGTCCCCTCCAGGAAGCCCTCCCTGTTCCCTGTGGGGCACACTGGCACCTCTCCTCTGCCATCTGGGAGCCTGGTCTTGGGGGTTCCTCAGGAGGGTCCTAGCCTAGCAAGGACAGCTCAGGCCCCTGTGATGGGAGTTTCCGGTCCAGCCCACCAGCGTCCCCATCCCCACACCCGCCCCAGTCCCGTGCCTGCCACCACAGCAGCCCAGGCAGCCCTTCCCAGCGGTCCTCTGTCTGGCCAGGGCCTCATGATCTAGCTGACCAGGGGCCCAGGGAGGGGCCGGGACTTCCCTGACACCCACCCCCACGCCCTGCCCAGCTCTCCTGTGCTTTGGGAGGTGGACTCCTGGTGTCCCTCTGTCCCCCCCTGGATGGGACAGAAGTTGGTGAACTGAAGAAGGCCTTGAAAAGGCAGAGGAGGCTCCTACCGGTTGTGCTAGAGCCCCCCTGACATGTGTGTGTCACCAGTGGGCATGTGTGTGCGTGCACTTGTGTGCAGGATAATTAAATCTGCCATCTATGTAAGCACAAGGCTTCCATCTTTAAAAAGCAAGCAAAGCAATTTTCAGCAACCTTGAAAAACAGTGTTAGAGCGTTCATTTAGTTAAAAGCCTCAAAACAATGAAAAGGCGCCCAGAGGTCCGGTTGGCATGGGAGAAGCAGAACTGGAGGAGATTGAGTGGGAGCCGCCACCCTGGCTGAGATGGGCGCAGACCGCACAGCGAGATGCCCAGCAGTGAAGGGGCGCTGCTTGTTACAGGGTTTCAGAATTGAACATGTGCTTCCTTCCAAATGCTAGCAGAGATACATCTATTGCCTTGTGTCCTATGTATCAGGTGTAGCATACTATGTATCATGTATATTATATTATGTATCGCATATATCACATGTATTATGTGTCACATATTATGGATGACACATTATTCAGCCCCGATATCTGTCTCCCTTTTGTGTCCTGTGTTGGATTCAAAGACTTAAAGGGGTGCAGGCACATCTCATTCAGCGCCATGGCCACAGAGGAAAAGAGACCCCAGTATAGGATGGACTCCATTCTGAGTAAATGTGCAGGTGGGGGTTTATCACCAAGGAACAGAGGGATGGTGGCCACAAACTTGCTAGGAGGAGACGTCAGGTCTGGGGAATTCTGGGTGAAATGCATCTAAGGGAATCCCTGTGGATGCAGGCCAGGGTGATAGATGCCACGGTGGGCGTGAGGCGTTTTGATCAGATACCCAGAGTGGTCAGAGGCTGGCTTCCATCACAGGGTGAGCTAAAACCTCTGTATGCGCCGCTCTCCACACCGCAGGACCTCAGACGTCAGTCAGGAGGAGGCATGCAGGTCACTCTCCCGAACTGCCACAGGGAAGCTCAGGGCACTGCCCCTCAGGGGCAGGGTGTGCCTTGTCCAAAAAGTGCTCAGAGGAGGGGCGCTCCACCCTACAATTCAGAGCACCAGGTGGGGAGGGCCAGTCCCGTGGCCAGGGCCGGCCACCACCCTGCCTGTCCGTCCACCCCACCTCCTCACTCTCCCCTGGGCATGCTGGTTGCCGGGGCCCCCAACCCACCTCCTGGCCTCCTGACACCCTAGAGCCCCTGCAGCCCCCACTGCTGCCCGGGGCCCCCTCTTGGGCCCTGGGGGCACCTTGCACTGCCCAGGAGCCTCTGTCTGGGTGACTGAGTGTTCAGTCCTGTCCGTGTCCAGACTTTGGCTTCCTTGCTCATTTGCACTCTGTCCAGGAGTGTGAGGAAGCCCCTCTTGCCGTCTGCGGCTCGGAGCCCCCCAGTGCTGGCACATGGTGTTTGCCTGACGCTGGTTCCCCATCGATGCGTCTAGGTGTGTGAGCATGTGTTTAGGAGACCATCTTCACCCGCCGAGCGCCTTGCTGTCTCTCTGGGGAGCGGGTGGCTCTGGGTGGGCCCCTCTCTGGACCTTCTTCTCTCCCGTGCCCCTTTTCTCCTTAGAGCTGGAACACGTTGTCTTGATTAGTTTGCTGAGAATTTCTGTTCATGATGAGTATGTGTTGAATTTTGTAAAATTCTTTTTCTTCATGTAAGGATGGGATAATGGTTTTTCTTTTTAGTTTAATATGGTAAATCACATTGATTGATTTTCACATGTTAAAGCATCAACTTTCCACTCCTGGAATGAATTGTCCTTGGCCACAATGTGTCTGTCACTCTTTTATAGTTCGAGGAATCTGATATGCTGAGGTCGAGTTAAGCATTTTGATGTCCCTTTAAAGGAGGGATCTGTAACTTCTGATCTGTTGTTTGTTTTATAATGTCTGCCTAGTTTTCTTATCAAAACTTCTCTTGGCTCTGATGTGCCATCTTTCTCCTGTGTCTCTGAATTCGATCTGCTAAGGTTTTGTTGGGAATTCTTG